ATAATATATATATATATACAACTCTTTGACTCAGCAGACACAAACGGGATTATATTGAGGTGTACGTACACCTCAACTGCGCTAAACAATTGATTGGCATTTATCCTCCGTTTTCTTATCAGGTCCCTATACACCCCAACCTCTTAGCAGTACATAAAGAGCTAGCTAGCTAGCTAGCTAGCTGGCTGCTAGGTTCGTCAGTTTAGTTGTTAGGTGTCCATGTAGATAGCTAGCTTGCAGAGTATCCAGTCAGCTAGCTAGCTAGGGCTAACTAGCTGGTAGCTACCTCTACTAGCTATAAGTAACGGGACAGCAAGGAGAACAGACTCTATGCCGTTCGTGCTAAGCTGTGCTGCATGATACATTCAGCTAGCCATCCGGCTAGAGTTGTGTCTAGCTGTCTAGCTAGCCACCCTCTGTATTTAGCTGCTGTTGCTGCAGTAGCAGCTGACTGCGCTACATTGCAGTTGCTAGGGAAGGGGGGAGGAAGTTGTGCAGCAGAACTGTTGATGTTGCTGCTGTTGTTGCTGCTCATTTCGTCTCCGTTGTTCCTTCTTTTATTTTCTGTTTACAAGGAAACAATTGAGTCCCTCATTTTATTTCAACTTGGTGTTTTTATTTTATCCTCCTTTTGCAGAGCTGCATGTACACCGCAGCTCGCTAGACAGCGGACACTTCGTCAAAGGCAATGTTAGAGGCCGGGGGGAAACAGGGGTTAAAATAAACTAAAAGGATTGCTACAAGATAATCGGATTATATAGTTCAATTAAATTAAATAAATTATTCAAGGAAAGAACAAAAAGAAGCCCGAAGTCGCTTTGTTGCACTACGCTGACTGTACTAGTACGGGTCCTCCTGCTGCTGCTGCGGTGACACCACACCACCCCGCAGGCGACTCGGGAGCCGCTACTGCATGCATTGCCAGCAACAGCAGCAGGAAAACGTTGTTTCGTTGGTTTGTTAGGGGGAAACAATTGTAAAGTGCGGTAGAAGTGGTTTTATTTTGTCTTATTGTTCTTTATTTGCTTCTGTTTTCCCACAGCGAAGCTCGCGAAGTCCGGGCGCCGCAGGAGCAGCAGCAGCTGACCGCGCTGCCGGCTTACCGTCATATGACGTCTTCCTTTCGTTTTTTAACTAAAATGAATTGATATTTGAAGAATTTGTCCTTTTAATTCCTCAAAAAGTGATTAAACGGCTATCTAGCTCCCCCCAAGGGGCTGCGGAGCGGCGCAGCAACAGCAGCAGCGCTGCCTCAACTGTATAGCCAGCAGCAATTTTTCACGCTTTTTCAAGCTTATTTTCTTTCTTTTTTGTTTTTATTTTATTTTGTTTTCTCTTATGCCTCCACCTGGGGCTTCCGCCCCTATCCATCTGCTTCCTGTTTTGCTGCTCCTAGCGCTGTATCTGCATTATCAGTTGTCTAGGATCCACCCCGGTTAAAGGCAGCAGCTGCAGCCTAGCAGCTGCAGCAGCTGCAGCAGCAGCAGCAATATCAGGCGTCTCAATAGTACTTCAATAACAGCGACAACCTTAGCTGCTGCTGCAATGGATCTACATGCAGACACGGGGGCCCTCTTGGGTCCTTCTCCGCCTGACGGGGTCAGAGATGCGGGTGTTACCCCCGAAGGTGGTGCCTCAGTGGGTTCCCCCCAGGGTACCTCCTCGGGTGCCTCGACCCATGGGGCCCCCCAGGGGCCCCCTCGATCTGTTGCAAACATATTGATGGATTATTGGCGACGTAACCAATGGTGGTGGCTAAAAGTATTAAGGAAAAGTTTTGTTTATTCTTCTTTGCTGCTGCTGCTGCTAGGCCAAGTGTTAGGGGCTGTACATATGAAGGGATCGCCTGGGATCGAGTTGCTGATTGCTTCTGTAGCACCAGGGTTGGCACTTCTTTGTCTGTAAGGAATCTATTGCTGCCGCTGCTGCTGCTGCTGCTGCTGTTATTGCTGTTGCTGCTGATGTTGCTGCTGCTGTTGCTTATTTTCCTGTTGATGCTGCTCATGCTGTTGCTGCTGCTGTAGCTGTTGTTGCTCTTGATGGTGCTACTCTTGCTGATGCTGGTGTTGCTGCTGTTTTTGCTACATCTCTTGCTCTTGCTGGTGTTGCATAATCTCCATCATTTCCTTCTATGTGCTGCTGTGCGCTGCTGCTGCTGCTGCTGTTGCTGCTGCAGGTTACAGTGTGTAGCAGGTCGTAATAAGTTACCATGGGGTGTAGCCTTAGAGTTATTAGGGTTTGGTGCTGTGGTGAGTGTGTTACTAGCGGTGGGGTTGGAGGTGCTATGTGCTGTTGTCTTTGGTGCACAACTAAGAGATTGTGCCCCTCCCCGCAGCAGCAGGGCCCCCTTTGCTGCAGCAGGAACAGCAGGATATAATTATATGCAGCAGCAGCAGCAACTCCTGCAGCAAGAACTGCTGCAACAGCAACACCATGACAACTTCTTAACTCCTGCTGCAGAGGCGAAAGGATACCTGCAGCAAATGAAGCAACAGCAGCAGCAGCAGCAACAACAACAACAGCAGCAACAGCAGCAGCATGAGCAACAGCAGAACGGACAAGTGCCTGGGATCCCTGACACCGCAGTTTCTCCCTCTGCAGCAACAACAGCAGCAGCAAACGAACCACCACCACCGCCAGCAGCAACAGCAGCAGCACAAGCAGCAGCAGCAGGAGATGGTGGAGGTGCATCATTCTCTGTTAACAGCTTATCTAGTTTGTTCTTACGGGGTGTTCTTGGAGAAAATACAAAAGATTGCAGCATACAGAGCCGTGGGGTGTATAGGCACCTCTTTTCTTTTATTGCTGTTAATGAGGTGTCTGCCCAGGTCCCTCAAGAAGATAATGAAGTCATTAACATCGATCCTTATGTCTGTATTATCTTTACCTTCTTATGTATGTTCTAGGGTTTAGGGTTTAGGGTTTAGGGTTTAGGGCTTCGTGCTTGGGATTTACAAATATATACAAGAAAACTAAGTAATAAATATTGGTACTTACGTCTGTACCCGTATTTTGTACCCTACATTTCTTAGGGTTTAGTAGGGGAACCCCAGCGGTTTAGGGTTTAGGGTTTAGGGTTTAGGGTTTAGGGCTTAGAGTCTCCGTTTTCTTGCAGATATGATACTATGCATTGGTTTTGCTGAGGAATTGTCAAAGGCAACCGGAGTGCTGCTGCTGCGTCCATCGAGACTGCCGCGACTTGATGATTGGGTTCTGAGGGGCCCCCCATTGGGGGCCCCCCAAGGTGGAGCGGCCCCCAGGGGGAGGCCCCAAGGAGGAGGGTCCCCAATGGGGGGCCCTCAAGGTACTCCATGGGGCCCTCCTGCTGCCCTTTCAGCACAGGCAGAGAAAGAAGAAAATGCTTTTTATCATTATGTTCCTCATTCCCTTTCAATTGTTGTTGGAGGCTGCTGTGCTGCACTGGGGTACGCTGTGTTTGCTGGTGCTGCTGCTGCCGCTGCTGTTGGTGCTGCTGTTTTTGCAGCTGGTAGGTGGATGCTTTTGTTTTTTGACCGGAAGGGCCGCTGTTGCCGTTCGCTGTCAGCGGAGCTGCTGCTGTTGCTGCAGTTGCTGCTGTTGCTGCTGTTGCTGCCTTTGCTTCTGATGCTGCTGGGGGTGCACGTTGGTTCCTGTTGCAGTAGAGCTGTTACAGCCTTGCTGCTTATGTAGGGAATTTAGCAACAGGCTTATTTCCTCCCCTTTGCTGCTGCTGCTGTCGCTGCTGCATCCGTTCCTTAGATTCGCAACAGTAGAGAATTTAAGTTACGTCTTCGCTGCAAGATCAGACATGGAGGTGGCGCTTGCTACAGCTTGGGTTAGGTAAATAAGTTTCTTTTTTTTTGTGCATGCTTTTCTTTTTGCTTACTTTTTAAAAATTATTAATTATTTGTTTATTTTGTTGCATTTCTTCCTGTGTTTATGCTTCTTTCTCGTTCACTTTACTGTCTATTTTGTATTTGTTAGGGTTTACTTATGAGGTTAAAGGCTTAGGGTTTAGGGTTTAGGGTTTTGGTATTGTTTCTCAGGGCGTTTACGGCCATTCCGTTGCATGCAGCAAACACAGGCATTGCCGCGTGTTTATTGGCAGGTGCAGCAGCGAGTGCTGCTGCAGCAGTGGGTACCCGTAATTGGACGGAGTCAACAGCAGCAGCAGCAGCAACAGCAGGAGGAGGAGGAGCTCGTGAAGACGGTACTGATCGCGCAGGCTACGACATATTGACTGTAGGGGAGGTGCATGCACTGCAACTATCCAGTGACAGCAACAACAGCAGCAACAACAACAGCAGCATCACTCTACCCCCCTCGCATTCTGGTTTTGATGACCCCAAACCTTTCTCTTTCCGGCTGCTGCTGCAGAGTGCGCTGCTGCCAGGGCTGCTGCACGGCTGCTACGATGCAGCGCTGACACTTGCGTCTGCTGCATACACAGCGGGGCAGGTACACCCAACCAACAGCAGCAGCAGCAGCAGTTTGTACGGCAGCGACGTTCATAACAACTACAATATCTTCGTTGCCTCTGCATGGCTAATGGTTGCACTTGCTGCTTGGTGGACGTCTGTCATTATCTTCTGCAACAGATGGAGCGGCACAAAGCAGCTGCTCCCTTTTTATGTTTACTTTGCTGGTCCTCCTTTTGCCCCATTGCCTGCTGATCCTGCAGCAACAGCAGCAGCAGCTGCTGCTGCTGCAGGGGGTGCACTGCCCATGAGATCCGGGGCTACTGTCTTCCCCGCTGCAGTGACACCGACGCAAACCTTTACAGAACAGTTCCAACAGCAGCTGCTGCAGCAGCAACTTCTCCAGCAGCAGTTCGCCCCCATTCCGCCTGACACAGCGACGTGGCAGCAGCAGCTTCCGCATCACCAGCAGCATCAGCAGCAGCAACAACAGCAGCTGCAGCAGCAGCAGCTCCGCTACTCACCCATGTACCGCCATTACGCGCCCATGCAGACCCCGCTCTTGCCGCCACAACAGCAGCAGCAACAGCGCAATAATGGCAGCAGCTCCACCTAGAAGACATGCTACAGTTCCTCGTGCATTCATCTCTATTGTGACGTTGCTGCTGCGCAGCCGCAGCAGCAATAACGTAGCAGGCGCCTCGTGTTAGCACAAGGATGTACATAAAGCATTTATATATGTAATCTATATAATTTACGCCGCGTGGCTTGCATGCCAATGCATATTAATGTATATGCAGAAGCATACGTACATGTTTCTTTTGTTCTGTAATAATGACAATAGTGCAAAAGACTCGTATACTAATAATGCATATATATGGTGTATAAAACGGAGGTGTATCATCGTCGAAAAGGTGTTTGTTCGTACCTACTACGACAGAACTGCGTACTTTTCTTCATTTGTGCATGTATTGGGTTATGCCGATATCTCTTCTTAGTCACCAACAAACATAAATAATTCAAATCCAACCCATTTTTCTTACAATAACGTCGCTGCATGCAAAGCCGTCTGAGGCGACAATGCACATGCGTGGCGGACTTCAAAATTTTTACGGTGTGCAAATGTACATGCATTTGCCCGACTCCGTTTGATTGGATATTTCATCTCGGACTCGTTATTTAAATAACGGCTAGCAGCAGATTAGATAAGCGGTTTAATAACAGCTTAACATATGCTTGCGGGCATTACACAGCTTGCATGATGCGGGTGCTAGCCCAAGATTCAACACCCCCAGTGATGGTATTGGTAAGACATCAACTCGCAAAACTGAATTATCTAAAAAACCGGTTTTCGAGTCGTTTGCAGGAAAACCGCAAAAACAGAGGAGCATCATCAAGAGAGAGTACAAGAGGAGGATATTATCCAACAAATACAATGTAATGTAGGAGTCGAACTGCAGGAGAGAAAGGGAGAAAGGAAGCGGAAGCCAAAAACCAAACCAGAGATATGATAGGTGTACGCAGGACAAGCTGACTGCGTACATCATCTTAGCCATACATAGAATAGAAAAGACTGCCAATTTATAGACGTCACCATTTCGTTTCATTTTCACGCCTCTTCCGTCATTGCTTCTGGCTCGTATTCTATGTTCACTCTTGCATGTTTTCCTGCGACAAAGCAAGTGTAAAGAAGAATAAGTGGGAATATATTTGCAAAGGCAAAGAATATACCCATGTACCAGTGGAGAGAAGAAAACGAAAAGACGGTGGAAATGCAAGACAACAATTAATCCAATAGCCAGAATTGTTGCGGTGGCACAACTCTAACGCAAAGTCGAAGGAGGAGAAATATCCCCTAACATTAAGGAAATTTTGAATATTTTAATGGAGTTTATCGCAAGCAACCATTATATATCTTACTTTTTGCCGCTTGTCTGCGCAAGGTGGAGACTGGTACATCCTTGCGTTCCTTCTCATTTGCAGCCTTTCGTTTCTTTTGCAAGACGCTTGGCGGGTGCAAATCCTCTAAGTCTACAATGGATTCTTCCTTTTTCTTTCCTTTCCATGCTGCTTTTGCAGCCTTCTCTTCCTCTTCTTCTATTTCATCCTCCGACTCCTCTGCTTCCGAATCCGAACCAGAAAATGAGAAGGCATCGCTCTCTGACGATGAACCCTCGATATCATCATCCGACCCGAAATCTGAAGAGGCGTATTCTTCTTCATCCGAATCCGCCGCAGCTTCAAATCGAATGGCACCTAAGGAGAAGCAAGGAGAAGATTTAAGACAATACTGTAAATTTAGCGTCCTGTGATCAATAAAAATGCAACATTTATACGCAGATCCACTCATGTATTGAACAAATTCAAGTATCGGCATCCACATTAATACTAATATACGAGCACATGCGCATATATTATACGTACATCACGTATGCAAAACAACGACAGACGGTTTGGGGCTCAAACACGAAATAAGCAGTACAGCTACTGCGTAGTGCCTGCAGATGCACAGGAAAGTCTAATATACTGCAAAAAGAAAGTTAAAGCAAGCTAGTAAACACACGCACAGGCATATATATATATATATATATATATATATATA